TAAACTTTATCCCTGTTCATGTAACGCCCGTGTTTCGGGGCTAAGCATTAGTAGATGATGTAATAGTCTAGGTCAATTATTGTAACTCTTTTTGAAGCGGTAAAGATGAATTATTTGAGTATTACGTGAATTATGTGAATTTATGTGCTTTATACTTAATTATAAAGATATAATTAATAAGGATAAAAATAAGCGTCAAACTTAAAGTGTGATTTAAGCCCGACATCTTTACATAAAGTTGTAGTGGCCGAAACAAGGATTCCGGGGATATAAAGAACGCCGAAATCCGAGTTATAACGAAGAAATTATGACCCGTCGAAGTTTTACGGCAAAACCGACACGGCACCGGGAAGCGTAAATAGTGAATTTACGATAGAAGACTTTTTGGCCTTAGTAATCTAAACTAAAGTCATAGAGTATGTTAAATCGAGAACATCCATAAAAAGAACGCCCAAATCTGACTTCGTATGAGGAAGTTATTAATTTTCTAAGATTCGGCATAGCAGTGCACGGCCCGAAACTTGAATTTTAGTTCGAGCGGTTTTTGGCCTACTCAACCTAAATGAGAGTTGAATATCTCATTAATAGGAACTCAGTTGTAAAAATACAGACGAAAACAGAGCCCGTATGTAGAAGTTATGAATTTTACGCGGTCATTTAACAGTATAATCTCCTCCTACTGATAAATTTAAAATCGGTCGAGAACTAGCCGATGGAGTCAAAAGGAAAGTTGTAGATCTTGTTTTTACCTACGCGTGGATATAAAGAACGTCAAAAACAGAGCTCGTATGCGAAAGTTACGGGGTTTAAAAGTCGGCAGGGTGCTGCATCGAAATGGGTGACGTGGCACAATGTAGGCCACCCACGTTCTGCCACCAGAATGGTGACACCTAGCCTGGACTCGACGAGTAGAAGTACCAACTCGTCGAGTAGAGCTGTTTCACAGCCTATAAATAGAGGTGTCGGGTTCAACACTTCTCTCACACCTTCAACCTTCACTTTCTCTCTCTAAACTCTCTCTCTAACTCCCCAAACTCCCCCAAAAGCCTAGGAAACTTCCCTAGCACTTGAAGAAAGCCTCGGAGAGCCCGGAGTCTCCGAGAAAAATAGTTTTTCGGTTTGAAACTCTGCCCGCGCGGAGCCCGGTTTTCAAGCAAACTTCCTGGTTTTGTCAAAGAAGATTATTTTTAGAAGCGAAGTGTTGTCCGAATCACTCCGCATCAGGTAAGTGTATAGTCACTTTCATCTTACACATAGATATGAAGTATTTTATGTGCTATGTGTATAGGTATATGTTAGCTATTTACTTGAGATGTTGCTGAATGAAAGATCTATGCTTCTTTCTTTCAGATCTGAAACTTTTACCTTCAGATCTACACTTTATCTTTCAGATCTAACACTTTTCTTTCAGATCTGAGACTTTTTCTTTCAGATCTACACTTTCTCGCCTCAGATCTAAGCTTTTTCTTTAGATCTAAACTGTGTACTTTGAGATCTACGAAAGATCTGAACTTCTTTCCTTCGGATCTGAACTTTTTCTTCAGATCTAGACCGTATATATATTTTATGCTTTGAGAGTCATGCTGGATGAAAGATGTAAACATTATTTTTCAGATCTAGACCGTATAAATATTTTATGCTTTGAAAGTATGTTGGGTGAAAGATGTAAGCTTTGTTTTACAGATCTGGACCATGTATGTATTTTGTATCTACAAATATGTTGGGTAGAACAATGGGTAGATGAAATAGATGATGTGTGTTAAAATGATGAGAGGCCTCGATATTTACGATGTTTAAGATGATCCAGTCGTCTAGCGGAGTATAGATGACGACCACGGACTTTTCTAGGCAGTCCAGTGGAACGCTAGCATGCTCGCAACCTGTAGGTGTTTTTGAAGATGTACTCCATCCCCCCATGTTTTTGAAGGTGTTTTTAAGAAATGCTTTGATAAAATTTATATCATATTTTGTTTTGGGAACAAATTCCGCAACACTTTTTTTTAAGAAGTTACTCTGATTTTTATTTAAAAAGCATAAACGAAATCGGTCTTTTCTGGCCGTAAAAATAGGGATGTCACAGTTCAACACCTTGTGTATTCGTAGGGTACTCACCAACACAAAGTGCTTACTACACCTTTGATCCCGCCTCTCACAAAACTTACACCTCTCGACATGTTATTTTTGTTGAAACAGAATTTCCCTTTCAACGACTTACCAATAACCCCACATCACCTTCTGCAATAAATCTTGATCATTGGCTTACTCTAAGCATACCAGTTATTGGCTCCACACCAACCCAACCCCATCCTGAACCCTCAACACCATCCAACACACCCATTATCTCACCTATCAACTCACCACCCCCTTCTCCAATAGAAAATCCTTCACTTCCTCCCTCCCCAGAAGACCATACTCATCCTACAAAAATGACCACTCGTCCAAATCCCAAACCAAACCAAAAATACTACAACTCTAATTTTCATCTATACACTATTTCTACTACCTACCCCTCTGAACCTACCACCATTACTCAAGCACTCAAAAACCCCTCATGGCGACAAGCCATGCAAGAAGAGTTTGAAGCTTTGGAACGAAATAAAACTTGGTCTCTTGTTCCTTCTTCTACTGCTCAAAACCTTGTCGGCTGCAAATGGGTCTATCGCACTAAATATAACCCTGATGGTTCCATTGACAGACTCAAAGCCCGCCTTGTAGCCAAAGGATTCCACCAACGCTCTGGCATTGACTACCGTGAAACCTTTAGCCCCGTTCTTAAACCTACCATACTTAGACTTGTTCTCTCCCTTGCTATCTCTAACTGTTGGTCTCTTCGCCAACTAGACATAAACAATTCCTTTCTTCAAGGCCATCTCCATGAAGATGTATATATGGCCCAACCTCCAGGTTTTGTTAACTCATCTTTTCCTCATCATGTTTGCAAACTCAATAAAGCCATTTATGGACTACGCCAGGCCTCTCGTGCCTGGTATGATGAACTTAAAAACTATCTCTTATCTCTTCATTTTAAACCCGAGAATATCATATTCATCCCTTTTTATTCTCAAACATTCTTCCTCTTACATTTTAGTTCTTGTCTATGTTGATGACATCATTGTCACCGGTCCATCTTCCTCTCAAATCTCTAACTTCATCTCAACTCTAGCGACAAAGTTCTCTCTTAAAGATCTGGGACCTATTTCCTATTTCCTTGGTATTGAGGTACTTCCTCATCCTACTGGTATTCTTTTATCTCAACGAAAATACATTCTTGATATAATTACTAGAGCAAATATGTGTGAGTGTAAACCAATATCAACCCCAATAACCACATCAGCACCATTAACCTTAACTGGAGGTACACCCCACCCCTCTCCTACTGAATATCGAGCTCTCGTTGGTGCTCTTCAATACCTATCCCTCACCCGACCTGATATCTCCTTCACAGTAAATCGTCTATCCTAGTTCATGCATGCTCCAACCTCCCTTCACTGGATCGCTCTCAAAAGGTTACTAAGGTATCTATGTGGCACTTTATATCATGGTATCCTCATAAGAAGACAGTCTCCTCTCACATTACATGCATTTACTGATGCGGATTGGGCTGGAGACAAAGATAACTACCGCAACACAACTGGTTACATCGTTTATTTAGGTTCCAATCCCATTTCATGGAGCTCCAAAAGACAAAACACTCTAGCAAGAAGCTCTACCGAAGTTGAATTTAGAGCAGTTGCTTCCACAACTACCGAAGTACAGTGGATCACCTCATTGCTTAGTGAACTTGGTTTTTCATCATGCACCACTCCCACCATATATTGTGATAACCTCAGCGCTACATCCTACTCTGCAAATCCAGTTTTCCACTCCAGAATGAAACACCTTGCCCTGGATTTTCACTTTGTTAGAGAAAAGGTACAACAAGGAACACTTCGTGTTCAGCACATTGCAGGTGACGATCAGTTAGCTAGCTGATGCTCTTACCAAACCACTACACAGACCTCGTTTTCATTACCTTATCTCCAAGATTGGTCTTCTCTCTGGATCGTCCATCTTGCGGGGGGCATATTAAAAGATGAGCTGTCAAGATCATTCCCGCCAAGTTTTATTATTCACATGTTTAATATGCAGTCAATATGTTGTTATTATCTTTCCTTATTTTCCTCATAAGTTAGCTCTACAATTGTGTTATTTATACCGTGTATTTTATTCATTCAAAATCAATACAAAAAATATTCTCTAGATCCTTTTCTCTTCTCTTTATAAATAATACTTTTTGAGTTTGAGATTTTGGCCACAAGACTTTCGTATATTGGCAAGTTTGATGTCTGTGTAGAAAATAAATTACAAAATTGTACATGTAATTTAAAAGGCCGTTGTGCAGAATTTTTTTTTTACAGCAAATAATCCACGTGTTTAAAAAAATAGAAAAATGATCACTGCTTAATAAAAAATTTATAGATCACGTCTCCTGAAAAACGGTAATAAGTTGACAACCGATCTGAGAAGCGTGGATGGAAATTTCTAGCTGGATTATAAAAAAAATGAAACTATTGGATAGAAAACAATTACAAAAATACTTTTGGATCTATACATCCCACAATAAACTACATATCACAAAATTCGTAAGTTACTTCTAGTTTTATATATCTCTAGTTGACTAAATTATAAACTTGTTCCTTGCCTTGTGCTGTTTCCTTTCTTTTTACTTTTTCTTTTTCACTTTTGTGTATATCCATTTCTTTTCAGTTTTGCTATGAATTTATAAGTTTATCCATATAAAATGAATATCTTTTAATAATCTAATGTCTTTATAATTCTTTATTATTTATTTTAATAGTTACACTATAATTATATTTTGTAAAATTCGAATGATCATATCAGTAGTTATTAGTTAATGTAAATTGGGAGTAGTAGCTTCACAAGATGAAAATCAAAGATCAAACACATGAAATGAAATCATTCTTGCCTAAACTTAATTTCAATAGTTTTATTAGCTTATATCCTCAAACAAACTACACGACACCAAGGCACTCTAGCTCGAAATATTATATATATATATCACGTTTAAACCAAATATAAATTTTTTTTTAACAAAATGGCACAACCACTGTTTTTAAAAAAAAAACACAAATAAAAATTAATAACAAATAACCACATAAACCACACACACCATCACTACTTTACTTTATCTCTGCCATTTCTTCTCTGCAACAACACATCCATAAATAAGCACAACAACAACATTTTATACTTTTCAAAAAAAAAAAATTATAAAAAATTACCTTGATTCCCATTCCCCTTTGCGGATTCCAATGCCTGAGAAACAGATCTCTGAATCCGAGGTGACGCTTGTCTTCCATTACCAGGTAATGAGTGTCTCTTTTTTAAATAAATCTCTTTATCTTGAACATCAGGGCTTGACCTTGGGGACCCATTTGCAATTGCTTTTGCTCTTGCTGATTCCGTTGCTTGCATGTAACTCGGTAATAGCCCATTCCCTTCATGATCGGAATTGTCAGGTTTAGGTGACCCAAACGAATTCCTCCGTTTCCCGGGTTTCGTTTCCTTCGGTAAAGTCTCCAATTTTGAACCCGAGTCAACGGTTGACTTCTTGCTAGTTGACCAAGACTTTCGTTTTTGACTTGATACGTTTTTAGTACTACTTTTCTTGGTGTTGGTTGAGAGTTGACTGTTTGGTGTCCCTTGTGATTCCGGAGCTGTTATGTGGCTTCTTGGAGATAATGACTCCGGAATCTGATGGACGGAATTGGAATTGGAATTGGGTTCCAGATTAATTTCAATGTCGGCTTCAGATGGTGCGTCTTCTGGGACTTTAGAATCTTCCGGAAGTTTCTCAATCTTGTCAACAAAATTGTTGTGTTCTTCAATATTATCATCATTTGTATCATCGATTTCTTGATTTGAAACTTTGGAATCTTCCGGAAGTTTCTTGGTTTCAACTTCGGATGGATCGGGTGAATCGAGTGTAGATGTGATGGAAAGTTCTGTCCCACATTCTGAAACTAAAGATTCTTCAGGGGTAACAGAGGAAATTACATTGTTGATGGGTTTTGAAGGAATGATGTCTTCAGGGGTAAAATCGTCATTTTCGTGGTTAGAAGAATTGTTGATGGGGTCGTCTTCAGGGGTACCAACATCATTGTCTTGATTAGAAGAAGCATTGATGGGTTTTGATGGGATGATGTGTTCAGGGGTAAAATCGTCATTTTCTTGTTTAGATGAATCAGATGGTTTTGATGGGATGTTGTTCTTGGAAGTCAACTCTTCAAACCTTGACTGAGCAGCAATGAAAGATGGATTGATTGGTTTTCTTGATCCAAAAACTGATTTTCTTCCTTCTGAATCTGCTTCATCACTTGCAAGTCTTTTTGTTACACGTTTGGGTTCGATTTCTGATACAGATTCTTCAACAATCAAATCCATGGATTCAGGTTGAGGGATTTCTTCTTCATTTGACTTTTCTTCAGTATTGACCTTGACCAAGTTGACTTTTTCATCAGAAACCACTGTTTCTTCTCCAACATTGGATTCCAATTCCGTTGATTCACAATCAGGAATCACCGTTTCCACTTGATTCTCGGTGTTGTTAATAACCTTTTCTTGATCTTGATCTTGATTCTGTTCCGGAGTGCGTGATTCCACTGTTTCTGGTGAAGACACAGACATCCATCTCTCCAACCAATTCCAAGCGGAATCAGATTTTGAAGGGACACATTTGATGTTGATTTGTTTCTTCTTTGGTGCAGATTCCAGTAGCTTTTTAAACAAACAAAAGAAAAAAACTTTACTTTTTCCAATTATTATAACAAAATGATAAAAGGGTAAAATGGTAATTCTGTTTACCTGTCGAGCAAGACTGTTACTTAGTAGCTTCTCAATGGAAATATATTTCGGATCCGAATTTATTTCAGATGCCACGTCAGCACGTCGAGCACGAACAAGAGCTTGCATCTTGACAATGGCTTGAACACATCTTAAAGTTCCCACAGCATGATTCCTGACTAAATGCCCTCTCACAGCAGCTTGTAACTTCACAACATTTTTATACCTCACAAGTTCTCTTTGAGCCTGCCAAAATTACAAAAATACCCTCAATTCTAAAACACTAAACAGATAGATATCAGATGTTAAAATTGAAATGTATACATATTACTACATACCAAGAATCTTCTAACAGCAGACTGTATGATAAGGATGGCTGATTCATCAACAACAGGTTCAGATTTAATGTCATCTTCACAAGTATCAGTTGCCATTGTTGACATTGTAACAGCATCTTTTGTAATTGGATTTGATAATTGAGGTGACTCTTCTGTCCATATGCTGTCACAAGTTTTTTCTGATATGGAGGAATTGAGTTGTGGTTCAGAAGTGAGTGGAACAGGTTCTGAGCTTGGTTTGTTCTCTAATGGTGTTTCAGTGATGACAGTGTTGCTCAGGACTCGATGTCTGGCTGATCTTTTTCTGAAACTCCATCCTCGTTTATCTTTGTTCTGGAGGGTGTTTAAGTAAATTGTTAAATTACTTGAGAAAGAAAAAGATGTTGAAATGTTTGAATGGTGATTTGATGCTTAAAATGTTGATGTAATGAGGACAAAGTGAAGGAAACATGTGGACCATAATCAAGATTCATAATTTCATGTCATGATTGCTGAATGGAAAAAAATAAAGGGGAAACAATGATCATAATAAGGTTAATCCATATTCAATCAGATAGATCAACTAACTTATCAAGTGTAAACAACCAAATTTAGCACTTTTAAGATCGATGATCTCAAACCCTAGGAATAGACTACGCAAATAATTAAATTTTTTTTTCGAAAGCAGAAGGAAATACAAGCTCTGAATTTGTAAAGATCCGATCAATCTCCATGTTTGGAACAGCAGATTTCCATCAGATATGATCATTGAATGTATCAGCTTCAATATTTAAATAATAGATCAAAATCAACTTGACCTAATCAAACATTAAACACGAATCGCGAGTGGTAACCCTCAAAAAACATCGATACACACGAGGTTTATAGATTCAATCAAAGTCAAACATCTTTTTAGATTCGATTACTGCAGCATTCGGAAGCAAAAATTCCAAAAGTAGAACATCAAACTTCCATCGTATACACGAGCAAATCAAAAAAGGAAGCAACAATTCAATTTCAAGTTACTTTCAACCTAATCAACTACCTAAAACAAATCAAGATCTCAAACACTAACACAAAAAAACAATTTGAAGTTTGAACACACATACGCACGCATCTCGTATAAGTCAAACACGCACAACGGATCAGTGAAAAACACTGAATTCCATGTCTAAAACCAAAATTAAGTTGTGGATTGACCAATTACATAAACTATACTACACATAAACGCCCTTTTCAAAACAAAAATTGATTTAAAAATACAGACAAGTGGACAACCAAACAAGCACATTTAAATACCTCGGAAGAAGCATCAATATCATCTCTATCAACAGATTCATTGCTACCCCCACCACAAGATATGATCTTGAAGCAAGATGTGGTCGATCTTCCCATGTTCTTCTACACTGTTGTATCCAGCGTCGATCAGAGGAGAAGATGGAGAGTGTTTTTGTGTCGTTGGGCTTCACTTGAGAGTGTTTTTCGTCATTGATATTGTTGGAACTTGCGCCGGATAGAGAGCAAGGGGTATTTATGGAACAACACCACCCTGAACATACTCCTCCAATCTAGGATACCCGTTTTTTCAACATGTATAGTTGTACTTTATGCATTAAAACATGTACCCATTTCATGTATCATATTTTTTTATTTTTGAATATAAAGTTTGTTTTTAATAAAAGCTAAAATTGTTATTTTGCTATAAAATAATAACAATCAAGTTCTATTATTGTTCTTTTATGGGGTATTTTAAGTATATAAAGTTTAGTGTAATTTTTTTACAACTAATGCAAACATATTATAACTTCGTTTAATCATACATTATCAAGTGATATCCATTCTTTAATACTAATATCACCACTTGGTTGTTCAATGTCGATGAGGGACTTGATGTTTGACTGTTCCTTCCATTTTAAGGTTTGAGAATTTTGAATAAGACACTAGAATCTAGATAGATGAAATATAAGAGAAAGTTTGATTTGTTCCATTGATCAAATTCTTGGTTTTTAATGTTTCACAATCGGAATAAAGTTGAAATATTGTTATTGTTTAATGAAATTGTCCTAAGACCGGACGGAGTGGTCTCGGTGAGTCACTCGGTTACCTCGGCGAACACCGGGCCGATGACTCAGCATGCCGAGCTCGGCTCGGCAACTCGGTGGGAAAATGACAACGAGAGTGAGTAAAGTGGTTGGATGTTTTAAAATTTTTTTGAACGTTACCTTGGTCAAAATGATCGTTTTTTTCATTTTTTTTTTTCAAAAATATCATCTTTTTACTCTATATAAATACCATTACATACCATATTTCATCTCACTTCACATTCTTTATTTTTTTTTTTTCATTCAGACAACATAATTTTTGTGAAAAAAATGGTTTTTCCTTCCAACCCAAAAGTTCAAAAATATACCAAAAGAAACACCCAAAACACAAACCCAATCTCACATTTTTACTAAATTTCGTTCAAAACCAAAACGACCGACCTATTTATTCACCTCCAAATTTACACTTTGGTAGTGTTACTACCCATTTCAAGCACAAAACCAACCTCAATATCAAAATCAACATCAATTTCAAAACCAACCTCAATTTTAAAAACAACTTTAATTTCAAAACCAACCTCAAATGAACTTCTCATCCTAACTCCAATCTCAAATGGAAAATGACTTCAACCCATTTGATGATCTTCCCGACTCCCCAATGAATTTCCATAACCAATTCCAATATCAAGGAGAACCCAAAGTCGTCCCTGAAACGAAATCGGAGTCGGAAGAGATTCAAACATAACCCAAGAAAAGTGGAAAGGCGGCTCCAAAGCAATGGACAATGACCGAAGAAAAGGCGTTAGCTCGTGCGTGGGTGGATGTTTTTTGAAGATTCGGTGGTCGGAAACAACCAAGATTGTCCAACTTTTTTCCGGAAAATTACACGGCGTTTTCTCATGAAGATGAATCTTAAAGTCTATCGGAAAAATGACCATATTTACTCGAAGCGGAGAAATGTCAACATAGTGGCGACAAAGTTTAATGGCGTGTTTCGAGTGTCAAATGACAATGGCAAAGTGGTGCAAATGACGAAACAATTTTGCAAAAAGCTCTTATCTGATTCCCGAAAGAATCATCTTTCTACACTTATTTGTCTTTATATTATGTGTCTCATTACATAATACATTATCCCATGGACATACTGTCTCTTTATCTCATCAGATCTTCTACTAAATAACTAGTACTTAACTCATTAAGTACTTAATCTTTATCTATGTCTATTAACATATATGTATTCTACACAATAGCATAATGTTTAGACATACATACATAGGATTATAAGGCATATAATCCTATTATTTTCTCATCTACATCTTATATGTATTACTCATAATACCATTAGCATCTACATATGCTTACATACTCTTCTATATGATTATGCTGCATATAATCACATGTCATCTCTTAGGTATTTAACAAATACCTTTGTCATCTCTGGCCATACTTACTCTAGGTATAAACACATGCTCCGATATATGTTTTTAAATGTATACCTCATACATTCTTTATATATACGTGCATGGTCTGGTATATGACTTTAAACATATATCTCATAAACATACACACATACATATAAACATGCATAAATAAAGACATATTATTATAATCTAAAGAGAAAGTGAGAGCAATAACTCACATTGTTAGTGATATGACCTTATTTAACTATATATTTTAGGCCATTATCTTAATAAATTAATCTGAAATATTATATTTTAAGATATATGATACTTAATATGCTTTAAAATGTTTAATTACAGTTAAATTCGAAGTTAGGATGCAAAAGGAAGAGAATGAAGTTGAAAAAGAAGAAAAACGACAAAAACGCGAAAAATTAGTAAAAGTCACGCCACACCCATTTAAAAGGCATGCCGAGCCCCTTCAGCGAAAAGAAAAAAAAATCAAAAATCAAAAATCGTGTTTGTATTGGATACAGATTTTTACCACACCGCGATTTAGAGACTTCCGTGTCGCGGTCCCTCTATTTGCTATAAATACCATATTTTTCCAACCCTAATCGAGGTGCAACCATTGACAGCCTTAGGCTGCGACTTTTACTTCGTTTTTGACTTCCATAAACCCCATTAGGGTTGATTTCGAAGCTAAAGAGTCGATTGGAGTAAGGATTTGAATATTCAAGCGTTATTTGCATCATGATTTCATTTCGGGTTCGCTTGATGACTGTGTCTCACATTCTTTTGGCGATGTTTTATGCGTTACTTTACTAATTATGATGTAAAAACCTTTACTTTCACTAGATGTAGATGAATCATCGTTAATTTGCTTTAATTTCGTTAGTAGGATTGTGTGAGTTTGGCTAATACTTGTGTTCGATTGATCGTTTTACCTTTCATGTTAAAGTTATGATTTTTATTGCCTATTGTTCAGTTATATGTAGTTAAGAAGACTAATCTAATTACATTAACTTGAATCTTGATTAGTTTATGACCATTAAACTGTTAGGACTAGAAATTAGGCAATATTAATTGTTAATTTTGACTGTAATAGAGAGTATTAGATAACCATGTTATGTTTCAATTGATTGTTATGACCATTGCACGAAATCACTAGATTATACAGTTCATAGTTCGAATTTATTTAATTAATTACGTGTTCACTAGTTACATGATCTTTGTGTTAGTTGTTCATTAATTAGTAGTACTAGGAAATCCGACCAAGATAACTAGTCATATTACAATTCAGTAATAAACTCATTAGTCCATTGCACTTCTAATAAATCAAACATAGAAACTTAGGGGATTCAAATTCTAGTGAAAGTATTTTTGATCTATTGTTTTAATTTTGTTCTTTACTTCGTTTGTTAAATTGAGTTTTAAAGCAAGTTTAATTTAGTTTAAATAAAACCACCCCTTTTTTACTTTACTGTTATTAGTTTAATTAACATTTACATTATTTGATCTAAATCATTTTTGTTCCCCTAGTGTTCAACACCCTTTCTTACACAACTATACTACTATATGATTATTTTCACTGCCTGTTGTGTGTACTAGTTTAGAAGTGATAAATTAGGATTTATAAATTTAAAACAAGTGCATAAATAAACACATCAAGTTTTTTGTGTCGTTCCTCGGGAACGGTTGTGTTTAGTTCGGATTATTTATTTGTTGATTAAATTTAGTTTAGTTTTTAATTTTTAGTTTTATTATTATTTTTAAATGGATACGCTTGATGCTATTCTTTAGCGTGAGTTGCAGGTACTTGATGATCTATTCAATCCAAAAAAAGATTTGGAAGATCTGGAAAGATTGCTTGTAGAAGATTCATATGAAGATCCACAACACGGTTTGATCATTACCACGTTGCGGTCCCCTATTTTTCCAGATTGTGTTTCAGAATATGGGGTGAAAATTTTGTCTTTGGAGAGAGTTATGACATGCGATCTATTTTTGATTAGTGTCCAACCAGTTCCGACCCTTGTCAAGATTTTTGGATTTTATAGATTCACGCTCGATTAGCCGAATTTAGAAACAAAGAGTCAAATTTTACAAATCGTTCTAAAAATCGTATTAAAAGTGACGGATGGATTGGTAACAACATTATTAGAAGTTTATTAAGTTAGGAGTCCAGCTCAAGACTCGCACAAAAAGAAGTGTTTATCTGGAGCCAACCCGACTTTTTAAATTAGTTTGTATTTTCGTTTCGTTTTTAGTTTTTATATTTAGTTTTATTTTTGAATAAAAGTGCTTTTGATGTTTCTTATTTTTATTACAAGCAAATTATCATCTAAGAAATTGATGATGAGCAAAAATACAAGAGCAAGGTGGATTACTACGAGAAGAAAGCAAGAATCTTGACACAAAAATAAGTGTGGAGTGCATGTTCGATATCGAGGAGTCTACAGAGCTATCACTGTCACATGGGAAAAACCTGATACGAGAGACTAATTGAGAAATTAGTTGCTTCTAGATTGGTCAATTCATTCATCGGTGAAGAATTCAACCTTTCATGAAACCGCGCCACGAGCCTAGCTACCCTGCGACTCGGTTAACGATTCCATTTCAACTTGTTTCCCGACATATGAAGAGCGCGATGCGCCAATTCCCACTGCGCGCCACGACGGAGATTTTATCGCGACAAAAGTTCCAAAATTTACCGAGACCGTGTTGTGGTCCTTTACTCGACGCGTCGTGGAAATGTCCCACACAGATTACTTTTTTTTTTGCATTTTTATAGCTGTCCGCCTACTTCTATTGATGAGTTATGTGTAATTAAGAAGACCAATCTAATTACATTAACTTGAATCTAAATTAGTTTATGACCATTAAACTATTAGGACGAGAGATTGATCAAATCCTTGGGTTAGGAAACATTAAATGTTAAATTTGAATGTGTTAGAGAGTATTAGATAACCATGTTATGCTTCGATTGATTGTCATGACCATTGACAAGAAATCACTAGATTATATCGTTCATAGTTCGAATTTATTTAATCAATTGTGCTCACTAATTACATGACCTTTGTGTTATTTGTTCATTAATTATTA